AGTTGTTAATTTAATAATGAGAAATTGAGAGGTTTAGGGATGTAATTAAAGGGCCCTTTTGTTATAATAACAGAAAACACGTTATATAGTGCATTATAATTATAACAAATCATCTTATAAAAAGAACAACAATTTATACAGTAATACAACGAGATATAGCCATAAATTGAAGTTAATATATATATAACCTTAAAAGCATGAACTCCTAACTTGAATGTTAAATTACTAAAATATCCCTAACTTAGGTTGTGTCTTTTTCGATGAGTTGTGACTTTTCCGATGAGTTGTGACTTTTTTCAAAGGGTTGTGATTTTTCGATGAGTTGTGACTTTTCCAAAGAGTTGTGACATTTTCAATAAGCTGTGACTTTTCCAAAGGGCTTGACTTCTCGGAAAGGTCATGACTTTTCAGATAAGACACAAAAAACACTTGTTCATACTACCTTTGTTGACTATAAATAGAGAGGTTTCCTCTCATTTTTTAACCACAATTTTTTTTTAATATTCTACTCTTCTTCTTCTTGTATTTTAAAATTTTGTGTGTGATTTATTGTCGTTGAGTGTGTTCGAAGTTTAGCGGGATATGAGGTACCACTATTCTGATGAAGTAAATCGTTCTATCCTAAGAGGGTATATTCCATAACCTCGAGTACTTGAGGAAAATAATTTTGATGTTAAAATAATTATTTTTTGCTTAATATATACATTAGTATGTAATGTTTCAATATATGAATTTAACATGATGTAGTCTAAGTTCATTTGTTTTTCTTAACAATTTCTCTTGTGATGTAGATGTATGTTTCTGAATATCTTTTTCCAAAATTTTGAAAATTGTCATGATTTGTTTTTTTGATGCTCAAGACAAAAGAATGACTTTATTTACCAGTGTTGCTTATGTGATTTACATTGTCAGGAAGTTTGCTTCAAAATAGTTATTACTATATAAACATTGACCTTTTGTTTTACTTATTTACTATTTCTTAATATTTTAGTATTTTAGAAGAAGAAAAGTTCAAATGACTTGTAATAACGCAAGTTGAAGTTTGTATTAGTTAGATTTTTATTATTTATTTAATATCTAATTTTTATGTGATAAATATTTTCATTAATGCAAATATATATTTATATTTGGGTAAATATTTGTATTTAAATTAAAGTATTATATATGTCATAAATGTATTATCAAGTTAACAAGATCTTCTAACTTCAAAATATATTATTTTAAAATGTTCCGAGTTATTCTTTAACAAAAAAAACTCAAAATATGTGAAAATATATGAATCATTTAAAATTTATCATTTACAAAATAAATTTTATATTCAATAATATGGAATAAACATTAACATTTTGTCCCTACACTAAATTAAAAGCTAATAATTATAAAATAAAATAGTAACATTAATTAAAAGTCCTATTTATTTATGTACGTATGAAATTTATTAGAAATTCAGCTATTGCACATTAATCCTTTATTTATAACATTATAAATTATCTTAGTTATTACTAATTATTGCAAACGTTATTCACACTCTTTTACATTATTAGGTATAATATTATGAATTTAATAGTTATTACATTAATTATTTCTACCTTTCATCTTTCATCTTTCCTTATACTAACTTTTGACCAATAATTTTTCATATTATTACATCGCTCCTATATATGTGATAATACAATGTTGTTATTTTTTTCCTTTGATGAATCATACTTGGTTGAATAAATTGAAAATCATTTACAAGTATATGAATTATATCTTTGTTAGGTGTAAGATGAACATGTGATTATATATATGATTTCACAGATAGAATATATTCTTTAATTTTAATTTTGAGTTTTTTTCCGGTAAAAGTAAAAAGGAAACCTTTCTCAGTTAATTATGGACAATCAGATAACTATCTTTGATTTATGTACACAGTCAATCGAGAAGTCAAATATGAGAGTCAACAATAAGAATGTCATCTATTATGTTATAACTTATAAATAAAAATTAATAACAAAAAATAGTTCTTAAAGATAAAATGTAGTTGTTCTCTTCACTAAAAAGTTTAATGTGGAATACACGTGCAAAACACATCTGATTAGTTGATAAGAAAAAATACACAACAAATATCGTCTATACGATAATATTAGTGAGATATGACTAATTACATGATTGAACCTCATCAAACTGAAATAAATATATACATTATTGCATTTAACTAATAAAAATTTTCATTGACGATCTTCATAAGTTTGCGTGAATAAGAGATATATATGACCATCCACATTGAACATTAACAAAAGAATATGCAAAATGATTTTGTGCTAATCTTATTATTCAAATCTTCGCTTAAATAAGCAATAATATTTACTATAACATATATTATCTGAATTGGTAATCACGTGCAACACACATGTCAAAAAACTAGTATATATATAGCTATTGAACTTTAATAACCTTAAGATTATAGTCATTTTTGTAAGTTGCTCTTTTTAAAAAAAATTAATCTAACACAAATTGCTTCTTTTCAAAAACATTTTTCTAAAAAACTATTTTAAAAAGTGCTTTTAAAAATAAACTATTTTTCACATCAATGCCAAACAGACTTTAAGAGAATTGATCCTTACCACGGACTAGATTGATGTTATTTCCCAGAATAAGATTGGGCTTAGCCCATTCAATGTAGCCGTTGCTTTCACATTTGATAGTGTTGCGTCTTCTATTTTTCACGATATCTTCTTTTCTTCTAGGACTGTAACAAAATTAATGAGTGATATTTGCCTCATTAATTCATATGACTTAATTTCCCTTGCAACAAGATTCTTGGTACTTGATTCTGCATTTTCCTTCTTTGAATATTGTCTCCATTTAATTCTTGGTATTTGTTTTTTGGATAAGACACAAGTAGCCCCTAGACTATGACCGAAATTCTAGAGACATATCTTAACTAAATAAGGTCTATTACCCTAACTTTATTTTTTGATAATTTTATACACTTTTTGGCTTAGCACACTCTGTGACTCCACGTAATTGAGGCACTGGGATATGTTTGGATGCCACGTAAGTTAAAAAGATGTACAAAATTACAAAAAAATAAATATTCGGAGATAATAGAATCTTAATTTAGTTAAAGTGTATCTCTGAAATTTTGGTCATAGTGTTGGGATAGTTATGCCCTTATCCCTTGTTCCTTCAATAGAAGATCTTGGTACTTGGGTCATTCTTGGTAAACATACTTGCTTTCCTTATAGGAGTCTTTACAAAATCCTTGATGCTTGTTCCTTAAATCTTGGTACTTGTTTCCTTAAAGCCTTGATTTAAGGCTTTTAATTTCGTCAACTGATATCTTCGTGCGAGGGTTTCTTATTTTCTTGCAAAAGTAAATTGTCAATCATTATAATCTAAACGCTAACACTAATGTACGCCTCCATTCTTCTTACTAGGTTTTTGAAAATTTAATCTTTATAGATTCAACCTTTAAGGTTTTCTTACGCGATGCATTGGGACACTAAGTGATGTATCCGAAATATATCGAGACGTTGAGTGATGTATTTGAATTACATTGGGATGTTGAGTGATGTATCCGAAATCGAGACGCGATGTATTGGGATGTATCCGGATTCCATCAAATTTAAGGAATTTTTGTAATTTAGAAAAAAAGTAGGAATATAATGTAATTAACTTTTAACATTATGAAATTTGTGTAAACTTCCCTTCAGTATTATTATCCAATTATATGCAATTAAATATTCCTTCATTTTGTTTCAGCAATGTTAGTTCAAAATAAATGAATTATTTAAAGTTTAATAGACTTTTTTTCTTTTCATATTTACCCGTTATTTAATGAGATTTTACATTTACAAGAAGAAGTTTGAAAATAATTAAAAGGATAATAGGGAAAAATAACCTTTAATTTCTATGGATTAGATAGAATACCAAATTAAACTGGATTTGTCTTAATTCCTTCTTTTCTATTAGGAGAGGCCAAAGTGACATTGTAGAAGCCGGCTTTTAGTGTCATCATGTCTATGGACGAGCATTACTATATTACCTTTGAGAAACCAATGGAAGATGACTAGTATAAATATCCATTCACAGTTTTTACTATGCATGAAAATATTACTACTAATTAAATACCTCAAATTTAATGGCCTCTTTGTCATGGGTTATCCTATATGTCCTATCATATTCTCTACTCATTTGCTTTGCATATCAAAATGACCTAAAGGCATGTCTTTTCTCTTCATTCTTTTCTCTTTTGCATTATCAACTTTAAACCATCAAACATTCTTAATTTTCTAGCTTGTTGAGTACTCCCTCTGTTCCTAATTACTTGTCCACTTTTGAATTGACACACTTATTAAGAAAACAATGATTGATATAGTGAATTCATAATTTTACCCCTATTAATTATGAAGTGGATGAATTAAAAACTTAAGATTTATCAAAAAATTCTACCTTTTTAAAAATAATTAATTAAGGGTATAATAGGTAAAAAATTTTATCCTTTCTTGATTTGTCAAAATGGACAAGTAATTAGGAATAACTAAAAAAAGAAAAGTGAACAAGTAATTAAGGACAAGATGGAGTACCATTTTTGTATGGATGATTACATGTTTATTACTCCCTCCATTAACTTTTACTTGTCCAGTAATTTGGTTTTTGCACGTCTTTTAAGAAATAATGATTGACATAAGTATTTTATCACTATATCCATATTAATTGATGTTTAATGCTTATTAGATTTTGAAGGGTGATTTAAAAAATAAATAATTAATGTTAAGGGTAAAACATGAGGGGAAAAAAACTTATTTTTTCTTGATATGCTAAAAAGTGACAATGAAAATATAAATTTTGCATAATGAACACGTAAAAATGAGTTTTTAATTGATGTGAATTCTTTTTACACTACATAATACCCAACAAACTCATCCTCAAATACGATAGAAGAAAGTTTCCAACATCACTATACTGTAATTACATGCATTTGTGTTTATGTTTCATGTTTAATGTATAGGAGTACATTGTGTACATGGGCGACAGTCCAAAGGGTGATCTTTCCACAACATCGTCAACGCACACTAGCATTCTGCAAGAGGCTCTTGGGAGGTCAGTGCTGCTACCTTTTCCAAATTTTTTTATGAATGGTGTTACGTATATGAACTCCCTTTATCTCAATTAATTATGTGACGTAGTTTGATTTATCACAAAGTTTAAAAAATAAAAGACAGATATTTGAAATTTGTGGTCATAGATGTTTATGTGATTAAAATTCATCTAATTAAAGGTAAAACAAGCATTTTAAAGTTAAACAGTTACTAATATAGAAATATGTCACTTCGTTTGGAACTGACTAAAAAGGAGAGTGAGTCATATATATACATATATAGAGATTGAGAGTAATAGTTAAAATGTAGCTGAAGATTAGTGCCCGGTGATTAATTTCTTCACTTCACTTTGATATATATCTTCCCAAATTCATTCTATATAATATACTATATAGTTTTGTAGGTAATTGAACTCCACTGATCAAACTTTGGTTTTACATGCATTAATCAGCAATAGACGAGCTTCAGAATCATTGATGTACAGCTATAAGAGAAGCTTCAATGGCTTTGTTGCCAAACTAACCGAGGAAGAGAAGAACAGAATTGCAAGTAAGTCAATACGTTATACGTATATATAGAATAAGTGAACCTTTAATTAATTATACAGAACTGTATAGTAATGAATTGCTTTCTTTATAGAATCATTTGCTCCCCCTCCCTTTCATAGATTAACCACTTGATTCATTCTAATGTCTAAGTGGATTTTTGTAATTCAGACATGGATGCAGTTGTATCAGTGTTCCCAAATGGTAGAAAGGAGCTCCATACAACGAGGTCATGGGATTTCGTCGGTTTACCTCAACAAGTTACAAGAAGAACAAGTGTAGAGAGCGAGCGACCTTATAATAGGAATGCTAGATACTGGAATTTGGCCAGAGTCACAAAGTTTCAATGATGAACATTTTTCTGGTCCTCCAACCAAATGGAAAGGAACTTGTCAATCCTCACTTAACTTCACTTGCAATAAGTAGGTACTACTAACATGTCATTGTTTCAAAACTAGTGTTTTACAACAACATAGGTAAGTTCATTGATGCTGGACATTATTTTCAGAAAAATCATTGGAGCAAAATACTATCGAATTAATGGAGAATTTCCTCCGGGAGATATCCAATCTCCAAGGGACACACAAGGACATGGATCACATACAACATCCATAGCAGCAGGGCGCTCTGTTAGCAACGCAAGCTTGTATGGTCTTGGGTCAGGAATAGCTCGAGGAGAGGTACCTTCTGCAAGGATAGCTGTGTACAAAATATGCTGGTCTGATAGTTGCTACGATGCTGATATTCTATCAGCATTCGATGATGCAATTGCTGATGGAGTTGATATCATCTCACTCTCAGTAGGAGGGTCTTCACCTTATCAATACTTTGAAGATTCAATAGCCATTGGAGCTTTCCATTCAATGAAGAATGGGATCCTCACGTCGAATTCTGCAGGCAATTCTGGTCCTGATCCTCAAACCGTGACCAATTTGTCGCCTTGGTCACTCTCAGTTGCTGCTAGTACCATCGATAGGAGATTTGTCACTGATGTGCAATTAGGAAATGGTGAAGTATATGAGGTGAGAAATCTTACATCTACCAACCTATAATTGGTAATATATTTATATTCCCATCCGTCTCAATTTGTACATGTACGCCTTGTGTTGCAGGGGGTATCCATCAACACTTTTGACCTCGAGGACCAGTATCCACTAGTTTATGGTGGAGATGTTCCGAATACTGAGGCAGGGTATAATGGATCTGAATCAAGGTATCAAATTGAAGTAGTACCAAGTTTGAATAATTGTATATAATATCTAAAAACATTATACATATGAAAGGTACTGTGAAGAAAATTCATTGGACAAAAGTAAGGTTAGAGGCAAAATTGTCCTCTGCGATTGGACTTACAATGGAACAATTATAGCTGGAGCTGTTGGAGCTATAATGCAAGATGATTTCAATGATGCTGCCTTTTCTTTCCCCATATCATCTACATACTTGAGCACAAACGATGGCACCGAAGTTTACAATTACCTATATAAAATACGGTATATATATATATATATACCAAAATATTTTTTAATCTTGTGATCTTAAACATATCATGTGAAAGTTAACTTTAAAAATTGATCCATAAAAAAGAAACATTCTTTAATGTTTCGAAACAAATTAAAACATTCTTTATTTATTTTTTTGTTAAAAAAAGCTTAAGATAATTTTATTATTACTAAAAAAGTAGGCCCTTCGATTTTGAGGGCCTAAGGCATATGCCTCATTTTTAAAGGCATTGAGCCACCCCTGGCATCTAGTTAGGAGCCCTATTGTTGCTTATGCTTTCTACATAAAAACATAGGATCATAATTCATAGGATATTAGCTTCTTCTTGTTTCCGTAATTACTTCTTTGGATCATTCTTTTCTGTGTAGGTATATAATACATGTATGAGTGAACTAATGCGACTCATAAACATTAATTGCTTTTCCATTCATACTAGAATTTCTGAATCTTTGTGCACAAATACAACAACTATGAAAGGAGCTTCAATGGGTTAGTCGGTCCCACCAAGCGAGCCATCAACAATTCAGGCTAGGTGAGAGAAAGGGGTTCATTCGCCAAAAAATTACACATTATATTAAATCTGATTTTTAGTTATATATATCATAAAATTGTCACGACTCCAAAACGGACGTGATGACACTTGTCCAATCACTACAACAAAAAGGCTTATTAAAAACCAAAATATTGTGACAAGTTATAAATATGGTCCCTAAAATATACCTATAAGGATAATATTATTTACTAGTCCCTAATTGACTATATTATTTTCTAAAAACAAAATAACTCGTCCCTAAGTCAAAAATTTCAACGGGAAATTACAAGGGAAGAGCGGGAACAACAAGTGAAATACTAAAAGGCACAAAAATAATTTCTCTCTCTATAGTAATAACCTATAACCCCCAAATCCATTGATAAAGGTTCAGATATTTCTATCTCTCTCTAGCAATCTACCAAAATCACTAAAGTCTCTTTCATTTTTTTTTCTCTTGCTCTATCAAACACGCATAGAAGTCTACAAAATCTTGAAGCTTGAATGCATTATTGACAGCAAAATCTCCTAAATCATTAAGCTTGAAGGCATTATTGGGAGCAAAACGATTCATCCACCACTTGTATCTACATCTAAGGTAATTTTATTCCTCCTAATTCATTTCCCCCTTCTTCTTTTTCTGTAAAATCTTTCATTTTTCTTTCTTGATAATTGAATACTCATTGTTATTGTGTTAGGACGAAAAATGCTAGTTTTGTAGGCAAGGCTGGGGTTTAGGTTCAAAGAGGAGATATTTGAGAGTTTATTTAACGATTCTCTGTTATGGTTTCATAATTTTTGCTGCCACGAAATTTTGGTAAGGCTAGCGCATAGCAAATTTTTTTCTATCAGGTGATTAATTAGTTGAATATTTTTTCCATTAGTGTCTTTAATTTCAGTTCCCAGTTTATATGCTTTGATTTTGAATGATTCTTTTATTGTATTACCATTGTATTCAATTTTAAAGTATAATCTGACAGTAAAAAGATTAGACGAGAAAGAAACAAAATTGTTAGTGAGCTTTATTAAAGCATCTGATTTTTTTTTTATGTGTCTATGAGTAGCTTGAGGATTGGACGAGAAAGAAACAAAATTGTTAATGAGCTTTGTTAAAGCATCTGAAATATTCAGTAGCATTCTAGTTTAATTCTACTTTCTCTTTTTCAATTTTTTGTAATTTCTTGAACAACATTGACTCGAAACTAGCTGACAATCTTTGCTTTCAGCCAATATTGTGAATATCAAGTTATTTTGTGATCTATACAGTTTTCATGAGTTGAATAGTTGAGTCCAGAATCCTTGAGCAAAATGCACTTTAAGAGAGTTGTTAAGAAGTAGTAGTATTATCAATTACTATGAGTGAAATTGATTTCTCTCAACACTCTATTGATTGAAGTTCGTAAAATTTAGTTTGAGTGACTTCTATTCCTACTTACTTTTGATCAATTTAGTGTATTTTTTATTGGATTAAAGTTAAGTTATCCCAAGAACTTCAAAAGTATGTGTGTCATATAATATGCTTCATAGTAGTAACCTTTTTTTTGGTGTTTCAAATGTTGTTTGAATTGTTCTTTTCTACTAAAACTATGGCTGCATAATGGTTTCTAAAGTTACTACTTGTGGTGCATGTCACGCCTGGAGCCTACACCCTGGGCGGGACCGGCACTCGGAGACCATTGCTGGCCCCAAGCGAACCCTTGGCCTGGCTTTCTTAACTCAGCGGAAACTTAACTCAACAGAATAACTCAATGCCATGCAAAGACATAAAATAACTTAACTGATGAAATCAAGCCAAAAAGGCAACTCGAGTCTCAAAATAGAATATTTACATAAATACATAGATGAGAGACTCAATACTAACTGACTGACTG